CTTCCGTGTCCCAGTTCTCACTGGGACCTGCCGCTTTTCCTCCCTATTCACTTTTTTTAATGGGAGATCTTACTCGCAGCGTCTCCTCGCCGCCATGTTGCTCCGCCCCCCCCCCAGTTCAGAGTTTTTAATGTCTTCATGAGAGGTTGGGATAATATAATGTTTAACAGCATTAGATAATCTTGATTCTTATATATATTTATCTAACTCCAAAAAAAATTTATTCTCTCTAAAGCCTGGATTCGTATTATTCTGATTAAGGTTATACTACCTCATAGAGATACTGGGAGGATGAGTGATAATAGTATATAAACACTAAGAACTGTATATAATGTAAAATAAAAGATTTGTATTATAGTACATTTATATTGGTATTATCTTCTGCTACTTGTTACCATGCTATCCTCTAAATTTCTTATGCTTTATTTTACTGACAACAGAGATAATAGTACTTCAAGTTAAGAAAAAAGATTTGAAGGGCCTCCCTGGTAGTGCAAGGAGTCAGGCACAGCACCATGAAGCTATCCACAGCCTCCACAGCAACAGTTTGATCCCTGGCCTCCTAGGGTGCTACCCACATGGCACAGAGACCTCTCCTGTCTGGCCCACTGCTCCTCTCAGCAGCGTATTTCAGTCAGTCTGCCTTTTCTGTTCCCCACTCTGACTCTGGTGAATAATCTCACCCCCTGCACGTCTGGCCTGTATCCCAGTTCTTGTATGCATAAATAAATAAATCTTTTAAAAAAATGTAAAAAGAATTGAATGTATCATTAGGCTTTGTCATTCATCTTGTGACCTTAACATTTCTTTTTTTTTTTTTTAAAGATTATTTATTTATACAAGCACTGGGTACAGTCAGAAGCTCGAGAGGGTGAGAGAATTCACCAGAGCCAGAGCGGGGAGCAGAACAGGCAGAAGGACCAAAGTACACTGCTGAGGGGAGCAGCAGGTGGCAGGAGAGGTCTGTGTGCCATGTGGACCCTCGCCAGAGGCCAGGGATCAAACCGGCACTGCAGAAGCTGCGGGCAGCTTCACAGCCCAGCGCTCAACTGCTGTGCCACCAGGGAGGCCCTGTGACCTTAATATTTCTGAACCTCAATTGTTTCACATTTAAAAATGGGAAATATCATCCTAAGTGTTGGGATAGTATCCCAACTCTTTTGCCTAAATCCTTAGGCAGAAAAAAAACAGCAGTTCCAATGGACATTTTCAGTCCATTGGCTTCCTACATTCTAGAACTGTCTGAGTAAGTATCATAGCAATAGATGGAATGGTTGAGCATACTAATGCTTATCCATAGGCAGTTCTTCCATATTACCAATCTCTACCACTTTCACTAGCTCAGTGATAATTACAAGCCTTTGATCTCAAACTTTTTTTCCAATTTATTTCACAGTATTCAGTTGTCAACTTGCTAGCGTTCTCCTTTTATCTCTTATTCTCTTGTGAAGTGTGATTCAATGTATCTGATATTAGCAATACACTACAAATGTTAGTGACTCAAGAGTTCAAACTATTTTGATTAAATGAGAAGGCATATCATTTCTACAAAACCCCACATCCTTTTGAACACACAAAATGTCATGCTTTTTATTATTATTTACTTTTGACTTCCATTCAAATGTCACACGGTACCCAATGATAAGAACATGAAATTTTGTTGTATTAATTTGTTGCCTTTGAGAAGAGGGTCATAAATGAGCCAATGCACTCATCATGTAGGCAGATGGCCATTTGAAATCTTGTCATATAGGATTCCAGAGCTCTCCATTTTCTCAAGTAGCATCATATTGAATTGAATAAATCATTTCTGAAAGTAACAAGTCACTGTCTGTCCCATGTCCAAATCTACACGAAACATCTAGGAAATATGAGCACCTTTATGAAGGTGCCAATGGTCATTTTTAAGGGGGACTTTTGGATTCTTATGGATATTAATTGTCCTTTCTGCCAGTCTGGATAAGTGCTTAGCAGATAAAAAATATTTTAAACATCTATAAGTATAATTTTTTAAAAGCTTATGAAAATTTAAATAGATATAACTTTATACATCTCTATTACATTTCACTTATTTGGGATTGATTAATTACTCAGAGAGTTCATCTGACTCTTGACTCTAATATCACAGCACTAGTTTTCCCATTACTGCAGTGTTTAAAATTTTGATTTATAAGATTTTGTTCAAATCATTCATTAAAAATGTGATGATAGGACTACTATGACATGTTATTAGAAGAAGCCCTACAGTTACAATCCATACTCTTTAGGTGCAATTTATTTATCCAGACTGAAACTCCTGTGACCTATTATATCTAAAAGAAATCCTAAAGGCTTGCTAATGGGTCTTTTTAAAATCAATACATTCTATGTCTGTGACTTCTTTTTACTGAGGATAACAACCCTACCATAATAGAACAGCAATAAAGGTTAGTGTGGCTTTACAGTTTTTAATTGACATACTTTACTAATGAACTCTAATGCTCTTAGTTCTCACAAATTTTCTGTATAGAAATGTCCTAGAATTGTCCCAGAATCCACACTTAGTCTATGTAGTGAGACATCTGCTTTCATATTTTGAAAAATCCCTGATTCACTTGTCTATTTCTGTTCCCTTAGTGCCTTTTGTATGACTTCTAAGTGATTATCATGAGTGTACTAGCAATCATGTCTACAAGTACGTTGTACACTTCAGGATAAAATCTTTCAAACTTTGAATTCAAATAACCTGTATTGAATTTTAACCCATGATTCTGCTTTATATTATATATTTAACTCATATTGAAGACCATTCCTCCAATAGGAAAAAATTTAGACAACAGTTTGGCAGTTTTTCAAAAAGTTAAAGATAGAATTATCTTGTTTCTTAGTAGTTAAATGTCGGTGTATATATCCAAAAGAATTGAAAAAATGTTTAACCAAAGACTTCTACCTAAATATTCCTAACATCACTATTTCTAATAGCCAAAAAAAAAGAAATAACCCAATGTCCATCTAGTAAAGACTGGATAAACAAATAATTGAGAAGGAGAAAGACAAATACTGCATGATGTCACTTACATGTGGAAATATAGAGCAACAAAACAAAGATCAGATAAAGTCAAACCAATAACAAACCCTAGAAATCTGACTGCAGATCTGTGGCTACCAGAAGGGTTCAGGGAAGTAAGACAATATAAAGTGGGGAACATTATGGGCTGTGGTGGAGACATGGGTGTCTGGCGGTAGGTATGGTGTGGTAACAATAGCTGAAGAGGGAGATTCTGTACCTCTAAATCATAAGGTTGTAAACCAATGTTATGTCAATTAAAAAAAATACAATTTCTTTAGGGTACAAACGTGGATCTGAGGCCTCCAGTAGGGGAGGGCGAAGGGGAGACATGAAATGGGGTGGGGCGAGCACAGTGAACTATGATGGAGGATTATGGTTGTTTTAGTGGTGGGAGAACTATGATGACCACACCTATGCTGTCAAAAAAATTAACAAGGATGTAAAATAATGGTACTTCATTAAAAACTTAAAATTAATAAATGGTATTAGAGAGTTATAGAAGGTCTGAGGCTTAGCCAATTACATTGTTAAGCAATAAAAATGTTAAATACCTATGATTTCCTATGGTAACACTTTGATGTAGTTTTAGTATTAAGTTGATCTAGAGAAGTTAGAAGTTAATTATGCATGTCCAAATTTATAATAGAAATTTTTCAACACTGATCCATTCACTTTCTGCCTATCATTGATTAGTTTTTGAAATCAACATATATTAATCATATCAATTTGAAAAATACCTATGTGTTTTAATTCTGAAGGACTCAGGCAACATGTCCTAGTTTCATATGGCATTTATTTGGCATTGTCATTTAAACATGCTATATATGAAAGCACTATCTCCCTGTTATGATTGCAAGCTTACATAGAACAATCACAAAGTAAATGCTGTTTTGTGTTGTGATATTCCTGATGCCTCCTTTCTTCCAGCTACATTAAAGGATAGATTTAATGAAATTCCAGCTGTGAGTTTTATATACCTTAATGTGTTTAACAATCAAATGGTTTTTCTCCTAATAACTATGGGCTATAGTTTATTGTCTCACCTGGTCTTTTGAAATTTATCAAATGATGAATAGTTTTGCTTCCTCTAGATGAAAACTTAGAGCCCCACATTGTTTTTCTTTTCTTTTTTCCCAGATTTATTTATTTATTTATTTATTTATTTATTTATTTATTTATTTATGCAAGCACAGGGTACAGTTAGAAGTGCAGGAGGGTGAGAGAATTCACCAGAGCCAGAGCTGAGAACAGAACAGGCAGACTGATAAAATATACTGCTAGGGGGAACAGCAGGCGAGACAGGAAAGGTCTGCGCACCATGTGGGACCCTCACCCATGGCCGGGGATCGAACTGGTGCTGCAGAGGCTGCAGGCAGCTTCACAGCCCAGCGTTCAACTGCTGCGCCACTAGGGGAGGCCCCCCACATTGTTTTTCTTCACTCTTTAAGTTCCTCTCTTTGACTAGAGAGAAAATAGAGCAGTGGCTCCCACCTGTCCCTCTCCAGAGCAGAGATAGGACTCATAGAGTACCAACAGATCTCCCCAAAGACGTTTCAGACTTCTTCCTCTCACCCTTTTACCTGTATCTACACTACATCCATAATCCAATCTTTATTTAGGAGGTACCTATAGGTAGGTATCATGTCCTTTATTCAGCCTGCATGAGGTCTGCCATCTAAGCATTTATATTATCTTTTGATACTTTAGCTAATGCTTTCATCTTGGCTACAGTCATACATTTCAAAATAAAGAAAATCTTATTAACTGTATTGTTTTAATTTCTCTATTGTAATTTGCCTATTCACAGTTTTGCTTCAGGCCAAACCAGAATTGCATTGACAGTTTTTGTACTCCTCACAGCATGGAGCTTAGTCAGTAAAGTGTTAGAAAATGTACACTAAATAGAGTTGGACCCAACTTATTTGAAACCTACTCATCTTTATGTTTTTAGTTTCAGATGCAGCATTGTCTCTCTCAGAATCTGGTAACTCTGGGAAGTTGCAGCTTGTTGAGAAAATCCATAATATCTCTGCTTCTATCAGAAGTAAATAGTTTTGCTGATGATCTGGGCACCTTCATTCAGGTATATATAAACTTGAAACTGTAGCTCATTTATCGTTAATATATCTATAGGCTTTTCTTTCCCTATTTCTTCCCCTTTCTTCTTGCTAGGTTTATATTTTCATTGTTACCTTATTTCTAATGTATATGAATACTGTTGCTGGCTACTGAAATGAGAAATACTTTAAAAAAATAGTTTCAAAATGAAACCACCTCATTCTCACTTGTATATAGGTGCCAAAGGTGCCATTGGTGACAGCAAAGGCATGCTTGGTTGAATGACCTTAAATCTCTTCAGGCAGGCATGTTCCTAAAGCTAAGCAGTGAGAGAAAGCGAACCAGAGAAGATGGTAAATTGAAAATGGCCTCTACCCTGTGAGTCCTATTCCTAATTGCTTATGAGAATCTCTGGCTAACTTAAATATCCCATTGCCAAATCATATGCTGATCCAATTAAATGAGGTCTCTGGGGTTAAGATGCAGCTATTGGTATTGATAAAGCTCTCCAGGTGATTCCATTGTGTATCTAAGGTTAAAAACCAGGGCTGTAAGTTCTTTCATCTTGTCGTATCACTGCTGAAAATTTGCCTAAGGAACAGAAATTCTGCCTATGTTTCAGTGTTGACACTGGCTTAGTCACTTTGTCAGTTCATTTGATATTCTTGCTGACTCAATGATAGAATTTAAAAAAAAAATAAGGAAATCAGAGGTTTTTTTTTTTGCGGGACCGTCACCTGCAGCCAGGGAACGAACCAGCGCTGCAGAGGCTGTGGGCAGCCTCGCAGCCCAGCACTCAACTGCTGCACCACCAGGGGAGGCTCCATAGATATTTTTTGGCAAAGAGGAAAAAAAATAAGAAAATACATGTACATAATTTTAAATAGAATGTCACCAAGTACTTACAACTAAGTTATTTACATTTGACGATATATTCTAAAATTATATAATCTAATTGAAATTAGTGTTTGACATGATAAATCATCTGCTCAGCAATTTTTCATTTTCACAAGTGACTACTAAATGGTATGCTCTCTTAATACCTTTGTCAGATATTTTTTTTAAAATAATTGTTACTGGACTGGAGGAACTACAATCCATTTGAGAAAGCAATCAGGTATATTTACTAATTGAAAAAGTGTAAAGAGCTAAAATGCATGGTGCTGTTTGTAGGAGTCCCAAGATCAAGAAATGAGAAGCTTTAGCCTCATTAAAAATAAAGCAGAACATAAACCCTCTTTCATAAACTAAATCCCGCTTTCCTAGGTAAAATCTAATTTATTTTCAGGGCCATGGCTGCAGTGAAGCTAAGGTGGTAGAATAGAAGCTACCAGTGGCCTTGAGGGAAGGACAAACAGGGAGGTAGAAAAGATACCACTTTATAAAGAAATTGAAATCAACAGAAAGACAGTTTTAATGATGTGGCAAGGAAAATCAGATTGACAGAGAATCCAGAAACAAAGAAGAGAGTAGATAATAAACAGACTCTGTGGGGCTCCAAGGTTGGCCCTAGCAAGATACCTGCCAACACTTGTAAACCAGCTCTTGATTGGGTTGTCAAACTGAGTCTCATGAATCAGAGAATTTTGTTCAATGTTAACTTTGCTAATAATTTTAAAGATACAGACAATCAAAGGACACAGATGCAACAGAGAGAGATGTGAGACTCTCTCCAAGGTTCCCCAGGTCCTAGTTTTCAGACATGTCTCTCTGACCTCAAAAAATGATGAAGTTCCCAAGAGAGATTTTTGTGGGGTATCTCACAGAAATGGAACATTAAACTGTTAAATGTCACTTTAAAACTTAGAGTATTTTATAGGTAATATTATCATATCCAAGGAGGTATGCCTCATAGATTCTGAGTCTGTAGTATAAGTAATTCTTTATCCAGGAATGTTTTGCTCAGAACAGTCAGTAAGATTTCCTCAGATTGCAAATACCAGGATGTCCACATGAAGAAGAGACAGGACAATTTTTTCTTTATCCTTGGCCATATCCCCATGAAGTGCCAGAGGTTTATTTTCTTCCTCCCAACTTGTTGTCAAGCTCCTGAGGTCTCAGTGTGGTAAGAGAAGGTTAATGGAACTGAGTTAGCTTAGAATGAAAATGTCTTTATAAAGGTGTATTTAAGTTGTTAATATGGATTTATAGTATTAATACCAAGAAAATATAATCAACTGCATACTAACAAACATAGATAAACAGTCTAATATTATGAAAACAGTAAAGGCAACCTACTGAATGGAGAAAATAGTACTCACATATCTTACAATGTGTTATACACAAAGACTTCATAGAGCTTAACAAAATACAAAGAATCAGACTTTTTAAAATGGGCAGAGGAACTGAACAGACACTTCTCCCAAAAATACATACAGATAGCCAAAGGGTGCGTGAAAAAATGTTCATCATCACTTATCAACCTTTAAGGATAATCAAAACCACAAGATACCATCTCACCTGTGAGCATGGCATCTATTAAAGGCATAAAACAGTAAGTGTTGGCTTGCTGAAAAACAAACCCTCGAATGCTTTTGTTGGGAATGTAAATTGGTGTAGCCACAGTAGAAAACAGTATGGGTTTTCCTAAAATAATTTAACAAAAGCAATACCACATGATCCAGTTCTACCACCACTGGGTGTTTATCTGAGGAATACAAAATCACTTATTTGAAAAACTATGCACTACCCCCTGTTCACTACAGCATTATTTTCAGTAGCCAAGATATGGAAAACAACCTAGTTACCCTTGGATGGATGAGTCAATAAAAAAGATATGATAAACATACACAATAGAATACTATACAGCTATAAAAAGATAGCTGAAAACCTGCCATTTGCGACAACATGAACAGACCTTGAGAGTATTATGCTAAGTAAAGTATATCAGATAGAAAAAGACAAATATGATATTATTTCTGTCATGTGGAAGATACAGAAACAAAGGAACAAACAAAAAAGACATTCTTGGATTTAGATAACAGAATAGTACTTGTCAGAGGGTAAATGATGGAGATAGGTAAAAGAAGTAAAGGGTATCAATTGTATGGTGCTGGATAGAAGCTAGACTTGCTGGTGACAACAATGTAGTTAGTTCATACAGATGTAGAGTATAAAGTTGAACATCTGAAACATATATAGCACTATAACCAGTGTTACCCCAAATTTTAAAAGTATTTTTAATGTAATTAAAAAAAATTAAACCTTAAAAATGCACATTCTATAGCCATTAAAATGAATAAATAAGGTCTTCATGCATTAACAGGCAGAGATTTTGAAAGGATAATACTGAGTTATAAAAGAGGAATGAAATTGTGAAGGAGAGAAACACAAATATGCCAAATATTTGGAAAAATATTTCAGAATTAAAACTCTAATAGATTATAAAAGAAAATGCCTCCTTGTGTATGATAAGTATATTGATTTAAAATGGAACCTTGATTTTTTGTTTAATTTTATTTATATCTTTTATATCATTGTGTGTGCTCTGTAATATTTCCACCACCAATCAGTTTTTGATGACTTTTTATAGAAGTGTTTTTCTCCTTAGACACTGTTCATACCTCTAGTCATTATGTTTTTGGGGTGTAGTAGTCAAGCTATTAAATGAGTGATGCTTTTGGACTACTGATATGGATGGGGTGATATATGAATTTAGAGTATTACATGTACACTCACATTTGATACTTCAGAAACCTAATGTCTACAATGTAAATAAATTTTCACATGAACATAGATTTTTAAAATAGGTAAGAAAGCCTATTAGGAGAGGAAACTTAAAAAACTGCTGTGTACATCAGATGTCTATTTAACTTGCTAAATAAAATAAAAGCTAAGCAACTCTAGAGATTCTGAACTTGGAACCAGTTCTCCAAAGTAAACTAATTTTCTATATTAGGGCAAAATGTACCAATAAAATAAGCAGTTTTTAAAAGATAAAGAGGAAAATAATCATAGCTCTAAGCAAGAAACCTCTGACCTATTTAAATTGAGAGAGGAACCATATTACTTTCTGAAATTATGCATATTTTGACCATATTTACGATGTACAGCCTGACTCAGCCAGCAGGCAATCTATTAGAGAGATTAGTTATCTGAAACTGTGCTCACAAGTATAGATATGAGGGTTCCTAAGCACAGGCCTTTCTTTTTTTTTTTTTTAATTTTGGATTGTTTAGGTGAGACCATACAATATTTTTCTTTTTCTTTCTGGCTAATTTCACTGAGCATGATCCCATCCAGCTCCATCCGTGTTGCTGCAAATGGCATGAGTTTATCTTTTTTGATTGCTAATATTCCATTGTATATATGTACCACATCCTCTTGATTCAGTCATCTATTTTTGGACATGTGGGTTGTTTCCAAAGTTTACCTATAGTAAATAGTGCTGCAATAAACATAGGGGTGTAGGTGTCCTTTTGAATTAATGTTTTTGTATCCTTTGGATCGATACCTAGGAGTGAAATTGCTGGATCATATGGAAGCTCCATTTTTAGCAGATTGAGGAACCTCCACACAGCTTTCCATAGTGGTTGCACCAGTTTGCACTCCCACCAGCAGTGCAGGAGAGTTCCTTTTTCCTCCATATCCTCGCCAAGATTTTTTTAATATGTGCCATTCTCACTGGTGTAAGGTGGTATCTCATTGTGGTTTTGATTTGCATTTCCCTGATTACAAGGAATGTAGAGGACCCAAATAAGGGATCAGGAAAAATACTAATTATAATAAAGCAAAAATCAACATCAACAGGCAACTATAAACCAGAGACATACTACAGGTGGGGGAAAAGGGAGTAGGATCAAAACAAGGGTGGTGGGAATTTAATAGGGACTATAACCAAGATGAAAATGCGTACATTGCACAAAAATGAAAAATGATGTAAAAAATATATAAAATAAAAAACTCAAAAAAATAAATAAAAGCAATTCAGGAAAAATTCCTTATAATGTGCTTCATTTTAGGTTAGTGCAGTTTCTCCACTATCCATTTTTTTGATGCAAATAATATTAGGTAATGATGAAACAA